TATGGCGAAGCCATCATGGTTTCTAAAGAGAGAAAGTGGTGAAGAGAAAACCAAACAGGTTACCTGTTTGGGGGTATCTGGAGTCCAGTCCAGATCTGTTTTGGTACCTTGAAAAAGAATAATTTTTGCCCACAACACCATCTTTGGTCTATCATAAGTGTTAAACCTTTATACTGAGGGAAACCTCCCCCTCCACAGAATATAAACCTGTGTACATTTGACATTTTGATATTTTAGAAGATCATATCAAATGTTAAATGGTTTCATTCTCTCCTGTCAGCCTTTGTCTTTTTGGTAAAATGAGTTCAAATTCAACACTCAGGCCCCTAACTCTAGCAAATTAGGTATTTTCCCCTCTGTTATAATTATGTCTCCAAAGTGAGTCATAAATCAAAAGTGCAGCTGCTGAAAGGGTGCCTCCGTTTGTGTGTGCAGGTACACACTGCCCCTAACAACCACAGGCAAGGACTGCAACCACTTCTTATATGTCATACATTTCCCGGTGTTATTACACTATCCCTAAATCCATCATCGTCACGTCATCTAAGCTGATTTTGTTGGAAAAGCACCAGATTTAGCTGTGAAGTAGTGGAGTGAATAAAATAGTGTGCATACAACTAGAAATATGTTGAATGGTAGGGGGGGGGCTGCAGTGTGTTACTCTACTTTTGGAAAGTAAAAGAGTTACATGGGATGTAATGGGAAACAGACCAATGTAAGAAAAGAGATGATTTTTTGAAGAAGAAAAAAATCTATTGGTGCATAGCTTCATGTTACTTATACATTATATAGTTATATGCTGCAACATCCTGGCAACCTGTCCAGGGTGTATCCCTAAGGGGGAGCCCTAAAGTCAGGTGTTGTGGTGCAGCTGGGAGAGAAGACATGCATAGAAAAATGTTTCATGAGTTGTTTTGTGACTTTCAGTCAATTTTCCTTTGTGTAAGGCTGCAATCAGCTGGCCTGTGCTGCTACTCTGATATTCACTGTGTTTTGAGGATCAACCCCACTGAATTCAACAACATATAAGCAGATGTTTCACAAGCTCTATGGCTGATTTCCATCCCCTGGACACTAAGGAAGCTAGTATGAAAGGGAGTCTGTGAGTGAATCTAATCAGCATCATGACCTCAAATATACATGTTTTACTCTTGATGTAATGATTACATTAAACACCACAGCATGCTATGCATCAGCCCACCATAGTGCATCACTGCAAACTACACTGCTACTGCCAGCTAACCAGTTTAGCCTGTACAAAACCATACCAAACTTTGTAGTAGTAGTATGTTTATGCAATATATATATTCAGCAACACATCATATATCAATCCAATATCTGTTTTGAAAGCTCTACAAAGAATTAGGACATTAAAATAGGCTTTTATAGCCTGTTATAAAGTCGCTTGCTGAAAAGTCCTTACCTTGTAAAAATCTTTCTCCATCTAGGTGTGTTACAAATTAACAAGCTGCTCCTAAATTCAGATCAAACTGAGGTATTTGTACTCAGCCCTAGAAATCTTAGAAACCAAATACTTACTCTGGTGGCATTACTTGGCCTCCAGAAACACTGTGAGAAATCTTTGAGTTTTGTCTTTCAATACCTTTGAATTAAGCAAATATGTAGGACTGCTTTCTTGCATTTTGCAGTATCTCTAAAATTACAAACACATTACAAACAACAATGCTAAAATGCTACTAATGTATTATTACTTCTAAGCTGGACTACTCTAGTTCATTATTATCAGGGTGTCCTATAAACTCCCAGAAAAGCTTTCAATTGATCCAAAGTGCTACAACAAGTGTACTGACACGGACTAGAAAGATAGTTGTCCCATGATAACTTCTCTTCATTGGCTCCGTGTTAATCTAATAATCAGGCCCCATCTTATCTTAAAGACCTCATAGTACCATATCACCCCACTTTGCTAACAGACTACAGGCTTACTTGTGGTTCCCGCTCTGGGTTTTAAGTATAATGGGAAGCAGCGCTGTGTGGAACCAGCTCCTAGTTTGGATCTACTTCTAAGATCAAACTTTCCTTTTTGATAAAGCTTATACTGTATTAGGTAACCCTGAATCTTCCCTTACTTAAACTGCACTAGTCTAGGCTTTCTTCACTCACTTTGTTTTAATTCATTGTGTGTTATTCACCACTCTGCATTTAATCGTTAGATATTATTCCACAGTATGTCTTTTGCCCTGTCTTCTTTTCCTCACCCAAAGCTGCCCCTCCCTGAGTCTGATTTCTTCTTTTAAAAAGGAGTTTTTTTTCTCCCCGCTATCACCAAGTGCTTGCTCAGAGGGTTGTTTGATTGTTGCCATTTTTTCTCTTTGGTACTATATAAATAAAACTGAAGTGAAATGAATTTTTGTGACCACAATTTTTAGGTTGGAGCTCCAAAACTTCGGAACAGCCCTCCTCTGCCTTATCAGGTCAGCTCAATGTTTGGTTTGTATTAAAAAGTGTTTTTATAAGTTACCTTTACCCTCATCTTTAATTTTTGGCTCTCATTCTTCTTATATGTGTGTTGAAGTGTGCATGCAGCAGTTAATGTAAGTATTTGTGTGTTTAAATGTACACTTATTATTAACACGTGCTTCTATCCAATCTGTGAAGCACTTTTTTTTAAACTGTGTGTTTTAAAAACAGATATACAAATAAAGTTATTGTTCTTAGAAATGCAATGCCGTCTAAGAATCAGGACCACAGACACCTTCTCTGTGATCATATCCATGAACAACATTAACAAGATAGTGACGTTCGACAGTATAATGTATCACAGTGACTCACGGGAGGAGGAAAGCTCAGACAGTAAATGGACCCCTGTGTAGGTAGCATGTAGAGCTCTGCAGTGTGACCAGGAAACCTAATCCTCTGCAAACAGCCACCCTAGGGCCAAAACTGAAACCCAATCCTGCATGCACACCAAAACCCCAGAAACCTGCTGCAATCTGCATAAAGGTCAAAGTTACAGTGTTTTAGTCCTCATATCACTGAAAGATGTTGTCTTTATTTCACTACTGTATTTACCGTAGAACTTACTGTACTACTCGAGCAATTATAACCTCAAATGTGTGAATGGCTGTTGTAAGTTAGCAGCTGAACTAAGCAACAGCTCCGCCTTACATGAAACTGTGCTTCATGTCCACGAATAAATGTCGTCATTTTTAACTATACTGTCACAACACACAAGGAAATACCATCTGTAGATGAAGATTGTGAGGAACGACAGAAAGCTGCAGCAAAGCCACTAAATGGTTTTCATGTGATGTAATTTTATTCAAATGCTGCTTCAAAGGCCATGAATGATTTTAAAATGCAAAAATACTAATTGATAAAAAATAAACAATATGAAATCCTCTAAATCTCAAAATGATTCAGTAGTAACATTAGCTCCTTTTACTCAGATAAAAAGTAGTTTAAATACTGAGTTAGCTTCTAACGTATTTTCCTCTCCAGAGCAGTGAGAGGACGGCTGGATGTCTTCTCAGGAAGCACCAGTCTCAGCTTCCTCCTGAGGGAAGGGGAGCCTCCTTCCTCAGGCAGGTACTCTTGCTGCAGCAGAGCAGCTGCTGTGGAGGATTCACTCTCTGTGGATATACCGGGCACACCTGATACACCTGCCTCCTGCATGCTGGCTCCAGACCTTTCCACTGCAGGCACCTCAGTTTGAGCCACACCCCCTACTGATATATCAGCTATTGTACCAACAGATACATTCCCAGTCTCTGCCTGACTGTTACTAATTGATATATTCTCCACTGTGCTCGCTGGTTCGAGTCTTTTGGGGGCAACTTCAGACATACAATCCTGCGAGGCAGGGAGGTTCTCTTTGGTCATGGATGTTTGAGGTTCAACAGATAGCTCATGCAGTCCTGCATTCTGAATGACTTGTCCCTGCACTAGTTCAGGTTTTGGCATGGCTACAAGAGGAGCACTGTCAGGAAGCATTTGGCTCTGAGAGGGGGACTGGACAACTGCAGGATTAACACCTGGGTTTGCTGCTAAGTTCAAGGGAGCTCCTCCGGTCTGAGGTGTTGCACTTGCATGTAAAGGGTTAGCAGCAGACAGAACTCCCCCTGCAGCTTCTCTAATAAGCATGTCTGGAGCACTGCTTGGAGCCACGTTAGGCCCACTGAATGCTATACTAGGAGCTGGACCTCTGGGGAACAGCAAATTTGATCCTGAGGCCAAGGTGCTGAGCAGAAAGTTCCCCCCTGGAAGAGAGAGGCTGCTGCCGCTTAGCTGTGAGCCAGCTGAGCCAAGCAGTGAGAGGTTGGTAGACGAATGCTGAGCACTACCCAGAGTCAGGCCAGTTCCTTGATACTTATTACCCAGCAGACTTTGCCCATGTCCACTAACAATAGTGGACCCTGATTGGTCAGCAGCACTGCTGCTTTGCACAGACTGGTTGTTCTCTGGGTATCTACTGTCTTCTGTACTTTTCTGGTCATTGTTATCACTTTTGGAAGTTGTTTTTTCAGAGGGTGTTTGGCTTTTCTGTCCTTCCTCTCCTCTGACCTCTTCTTCCTTGATTCCAACCTCAGCCGATGTCTCAATCTTGGAGGATTTTCCAATTTTTTTCTTGCTAGACTTTCCTTTTTCTTCCTTCTCCTCACGTTCTTTTCCATCCTTTCTTTTTTCTTTGCTTTTCTTGGAGCTGCTTTTCTCCAAAGGACCCTGCTCATTTTTCTTCCTTGGATGGACTTTGCTTTTTCTTAGTGGATTCAAGTTTAGTTTGACCTTCACCAACCGGCTGGACTGAACTTTCTGCCTCTTTTCTCTTCTCTTTCTTTTGTCTCTTATTACGTCCTCCTCTCTCTTGTCCTCAATTTGACTGTTTCCTTCCTCCAGGGTTCTTGAACTCTGCAGATCAAACGACACATTTCTGATTACTTTTCTCAACTCTGTGTTCTTCATCATGTCAGAGTGGTTATGAGCATTCCTTCCGCTTTCATTCAGCCTGTACTGAGAAGAGAAGCCATTAGGGAAGCAAAGTCTCCTGGATTGGTCCCAATCTTCCGTTGTCTCATGTCCTGCTCTGCTCTGTATGTCCTGTGACAACTTTCACAGCGTAAACTCTCATATCCTTTAATCTTTACTTCTGCGTGTGTCCTGTGATTGTTCACATTTCTGCCGTTCTTGCGGGCTGGCAGGATCTCTGCTCTCTGATTAAAGGCTTCACTCTGTGGATAAGAAGATGAATTTGTATTTTCTTGAAAAACAAACTTGTTAGGGGTGTCCCTGTTCAAGATTCTATGCTGAACTTCTGTCCTTTTCCCCTCCTCGTCGGGTATCCTTCTTATTTTTCTCCTTTCTCTGTCCACCTCTGCCTCAATCCCTCCATTCATCCTGTTTTCTCTTCTCATTGGGTTCAGCTGTGGTGCATCACTGCTGCAGTCAGCACAGCTGAAACAGCCACCGTTCTCATCAGTTCTAAATCTAAACTGGTCTCTGGGTTCATTTGCCCATGTGTCCAAAGTCACGGCGTCCTTGTTCCACTGCTGCCTGCTGTTTTCTTGCAAGAAAACATCCCTCCTCCTCTCTCTAACATCGAGGTGATTAACACGGTGGTTAGCTGTGCTGCTGCTTCCTCCTTCTTGCTCTTTCAGTCTTTTACTTTCTTTCATTTTTTTCTTTCGAGACACTTGATAGTAAATCAGAACTATCAGCAGAGTCAAGCCAACGCCACCTGAAGCACAGGAGAATGAGTATGATTGGGTATTAAAGGTTCTGCAGTGTATTTTTCTCCTGTTTTTATTTTCGAATGTTGATCATTTAGAACTGTGTTGCTTCAGCTGGGTGTTCTGTGCTTATGATTCTCCATCTAATACTCCTCTTTTCTTATTCTTTCATTAACGTCTAAGAGTTAAATCATTGTTCTTTTATCCTGTGTTGTTTATCATTCTCACCAATAAAGCAGATGACTGCAGTGATGGCTAGATCTCGAGCATACAACTGAGGCGTTACGCTGGCTCTTGGCTCTATATGCACTGTGATGTTCTGATTGGACGGGACACAATTGGCATCGGTCAGCTCCAGCACTGTGGTTACAGCTGGGTTGTCAGCGCTCGCACAAACCATCCTACGGCCATTGTAGAGGATCTGAGATCAGCACAAATAGAAAGAGAAAAGATTTAAGTCAGTTCAGGTTGTACTGGTGAGTGGACGTAGGTTTAGTGGGGGAGTTCCTGTACCTTGTCAGGTTGTTGGATGAAGGTGGACAGGAAGTCGGCGAGCTCCAGCAGCTGACAGGAGCAGTTCCATGAGTTGAGGTCCAGGTTGAGATTTGTCAGCCAGGTGAGGTAAGAAAAAGCATCCACAGGAGCAGAACTCAGGCGGTTTCTGGAAAGATCCAGAGTCGTCAGGCTCACCAAGCCACGGAAACTAAGACACAGAGGGTTATATATATATTACATTAGGTTTGGTGAAGGTCCTTTATTTCTTTTAAAGGAAGGAAATAAATAAACATTGTAATATTAACTTCTTACCTGTTTCTCTCCACATGCTCAATCAGATTATCTGACAGATCCAGATTCCTGAGTTCTCTGAGGTCATTTAGAGGGAAGGAACGAGAATCTAAGCTGGTGAGCAGGTTTCCCTCCAGTGTAAGACTCTGCAGAGCCTTGGCACCTTTAAACCAGCCACCCTGGATCTACACAGCAACACAGAGTTGATTCTTACTTCATGTATTTAGTCCCAAAACTTAAAATGCTGTATGTTCTTTAAATGCACAAGAAACGTTGTGGAAGACGATAAACATCTACTACCATCTGCACATAGTATTTGGTTTTACTGTCTATGTTTTATATAAAGGTTATCTTCTTTCTAAATGCCAGCAGGTAGAAAAAGGTTCAGCTTCCATAGGAAGATTACCCTGGGCAGCCTTGCTCTATTACCTCAGTAAACACTTTACTCATCATTTGTGACTTCTATCTCTGGTTTCAATTTTTGCTGAATACAATATGATGCTCATTTTGCTCATTACTGTCCCCATAGGTGTCCAGAAGGAGAAAAGGAGGATATGCTTCACCATATATGATGAGTTAGTCACATCAGGTCTTCAAAAAACTAAGATGTTCAGCTCGAGCCTTCAGCTGGTAAAGTGACAACGGCTACATCCATCTTTTCCATGACTTACTATCCCTGATTAATGAAGTAATCACTTAACTGTAAAATCTCTCAACTGAAAATGCTACTGTTGCAAATAGTAGCATTTTCCCCAGCAAAGGTACCTACCGTGCTAATGATATTATGGCCCAAGGTAAGGACCTGTAGCTGGGTTAGATTCATCAGAGCTCCACCCTGTAGAGACTCACTGTTCAGGAGGTTGTGGTCCAGCAGTAATGTGCGGAGGAAGGGCAGATTTCTGAAGGACTCTTTACCAAGTTCTGAGATGTTGTTATGACTCAAACCTGGATGATCAGCAGGGAGAAATACATTTGAACACTATAAAACCGGGAGTCTAAATGTTTTAATGCATCTAAAAAGTGAAAGATGTCCTGTTGCCTGGCTATGCTATTTTTTCTAAAAAAAGAAAAGGACAATTTCCCTTCTTTTGTTCTTTTTCTGTCTGTCATCTGCCATTGCTTTGCAGTATTTTAATGGTGCAGAGGACTTTCTTCTGAAGTTTAGTGGGTCAAAGTTTTAAAAGTAACTCTATTTCATCTAGCAAAAGGGTTTGGCACACTGACCTCTATGGATCAAAAGTTAAAGGCTGTACTAAGAGGGAACATGTAACACAAGCAAGACTAATTGCCTTGCTTGTGTGTAGTTAGTCTCGAGTCTTTATTTTTTGTAAATTTGAGAGGCAAAATTTATCATAGAATGAATATGAAAAGCTGCATTAGAAGCTTTTGCTTGCTACCTTCAAATACCCCTCTTGACCATTGTGGCTGCTTTTTGATTCACTATTTAACCCTGGAGAACCCATGGGGTCAAATTTGACCCCATGGGTTCCCTAGTAAACCAGTGGTGTCGGATCTGACCCCATGGGTTCTCCAGGGTTAAACTAACTTTGCTTTACTTTGAAGGACCCGTCCCATCCTTCAATAAACTGTTCAAACTTCTGCAATCAGGCAGAAGGTTCCATACCATACGGGCAAGAACAGAGAGACTCAAGAGGAGCTTCTATCCCCAAGCCACCCAGGTCCTAAATCAGAACATATCAGAACATGCCCCCCGTGAACAGAATCAACTTGTCTTACCACTATTGTTGCTGTTTTGCAATTCTCAGAACTCACCAGTTTACTCACCAATGACTGTAATGTTGCTCAGCTCAGACAGTGAGGCAGGCGGAACTGTAGAAATTGAGCCTTCTGTTAGCAGCAGAGCCTGTGTGGTATTCGGAGCAACTGGTCAAGGCATACAAAAACACACAACATCATCAGCATATTAGTGCCTTTCGGTTACATACATAAGAAGTAAATGTACCACATTAAAGTGGTACATTTTGCATTATGCTACATCATAAGCTTATAAAAAAGTGTAATATATGACAGTTTTTAGTAATGTCAAATTCTGTTGGTTTTCTTTAGTTTATATTTTGCAATACTGGCTTTTGTGTTTCTTTGAGCTTTAAGGATTGATTTTATTATTATTACATTTTGTCATTTTATAATGCATTGTGCAATAAAATATGTATTAGTCAATCCATTTGCAAATTAGTATTATGAATTACGAATTGCGGAAGGTAACACGAAAGTAGCACGTAACATTAGCATCACTCCAGGTAGCCCTACCCTTGTAGGCTTGTGTTAGTTTGTGATATGGGGGTACTAGCTAGCTACTGTTAAGAAATAAATAAATATATATATATATATATTCTTAATGCTTATTTGCTGATTATATGGTTTTATGTATTTTAGTAATGAAGGCTTGTAAACCAAGGGCACTTTTGACTCACAAACTAAGTGCTCAGCCAGACTGAAAAACAGGAAGTCCGTGTGCAGCTGTACACGCATATTAATAAATAGAGGAAGTTAGACAGAAAAAGAGGAAGCTACTGACATATAAGGAGTTGTTTGTATTGAAACTGTGTGACGTGTGAAGTACCAAAATAACACTATATGAGACACAGGCTGAGCTTCTAATGTTAGAGATTCTGCAGCTGGCTATGGGCTGTGCAGGGCTCTCTCTTCCGGAAGATGATTGAATAAAAAATTATAAATGTTTTGACCACTCTGAGTCGGGTTTTCTCTGTTCTATCAAGGGGATCAAAGAATCGGGTTTAATTCTACCGTTTTTAGTAAGCTAATGTCTGCTTTCACAAATAAACTTGGAAACTAATCAAACTTCCTTGTGTTTTTGTCCATTAAATTACCATATAATGGATATTTTTATAAAAAAACAAACAAAACAAACATAATCAAAAAGTAATTAGCAAATTATTTTATTAATTTACAATTGATTATTAAAGCATGAAATGCTTTATTTCAGTGTAACGTAACTCTCCCAGTCCTCCATATCCCAGTACCCTCTTATTCGATTGTTAATCCTTCATGTCTGTGTTCAGTGTTTACCTGTTTAGTTACTTTCTCCTTTATTTTGTTAGTTCCTTTTCTCTCGTGTTTTGCTGTCTTCAGCTCTGAATACTGACAAATAACGTTTTTCATATGACTACCGTACAGTAGGACTATGCACTTATTTAGGCTCAGCTTTCAGTTATAGAGGGCATATTTTTTTTACCTATAATTTTAGTCAGTCTTTGGCAGATGACAGCATCCTCAGAACAAACCATACAGGAAGCAGGACACAACGGGACTTGGGACATGCGCTGGGCGCTGATGACTAGCAGCAACAACATCAGCAAAATATCTGAAAAGAAATTTGCATAATCTTAACTGCCTGCAGTGGGCCTCTGCGATGCAAGAAAACCATGTGTACTACTCACTGTACATGTTGTGTTACAGTGCAGTGATGATGAGGCCTCTCTTCCACAGGGTCGTAACCTGATACAGCTTTATCCGTATCGCCATTATCATCCGTTTGTCCTACAAAAAGACGTAATTGTATCACTGTAAAAACACCATAATCACCCATCTTGTGTAGTCAGACCTGCATGGCTGAGTGTGGACCTTAGCCTGCAGCTTCCTGAAAAGAACAACACACAAGTACTGCAGACGAATGAGTGACATCATGAATAAAACACATACAGACGTCTTCATAGGTGTTTTCACAGACTGAAAATAATCACCAAGTACACGTTTGCTCTCTGTTGCTAAGCAAACAAATAAAGCTAAATGGTAATGCATCACCATATGTACTTGTGTGTTAGGCAGCACTGGGGAGATAGAGTTTGTCCCCAGAGGAGGCTGACTGATGGATAACAGCTCGACATTGTAGCCAAATGAGGCCTATCATGTTTCTGCTGAAGCTCTTTTACTAATGGACTTTTCTCTGGTGATAAACAAATGTAAGCTACTCCACAATAACCATAAAGCAGAATGGCTCATCAGATTGACCAGCAAGACAACACATTCATTACAGAGTGCAATTATATTTCAACCCGGCAGACTTTTATCTCCTATACAAGAAACGCATTTTGCAGTTTATTCCTAGCGCAGACAGCACTGCTGGTTGAAACAATAACGTCTAAGCACCACTTAAACCTGATTTAAGAGCTATTTAAGCATTATGTTTTATTAACACTGAACTCAATGTGGAGCTTCCATCTTCACTAAGCTCTTTTTTCACTGTTGTAAATGTACAGCTGCACTCTGATCTCGTGCATTTTTACATAGTGATTTTGAATTTCTTGGTAGTTGTTTTGTGTCTGTTTTTCATCACATCAAGTCTCTTTGTTGTCATTTCATGCATCTTTGTGTGTCACGTTAATCTCTTTTGTCTCTGTCATGTTGCCCCATTTTTGTGAGTCTCGACACTGTTGTTCTTTTGCATAGCTTTCTTTTGTAGGGAACTGTTTTAACTGACATTATAGTTCGTCTTAATACTACTGAAGAGACAGTAGACACCTGGGAGACAGGTGTAACAGTGAAGCTCCTAGGAATAGAGGAGTGAGGGTAGACAACTTTAAATATCTGGGGTCAACTATCCACAGCAACAGACAGTACACAAGAGGTGAAGAAGAGAGTGTAGGCAGAGTGGAGTAGGTGGAGATGGTGTCAGGGGGATTTGTGTCAAAAGGATAGCAGCAAGAAAGGGAAGGTTTACAAGACAGTAGTGAGACCTACTATGATGCAGGGTTTGGAGGCAGTAGCTCTAAGAAAAAGACAAGAGGCTGACGTGCAAGTGACAGAGTGACCAGGATGGACATCATCAGAGGGACAGCTCAGGGTGAGCAGTTTGGGGACAGAGTTAGAAACTCGAGTTGGAAGTGGATATATTAGACAAAGGATGTTGAAGATGGAAATGCCAGGCAGGAGGAAACGAGGAAGACCTCTGAAAAAGTTTATGGATGTAGTGAAGGGGAACAGAAATTGTTGATAGAGGATAGGGTTAGATGGAGGCAGATGATCGGCTGTGACAACACTTAAAGGGAGCAGCCAAAAAAAAAAGTTGTTTTGTGGTGCATCTCTTTTTTGTGTACTGTATTTCTTTAAAGCTGTTTTGTGTCTCTTTGTTGTCTCTTGACAAGACACATGTGGATGAGACAGAAAACAAAGAACTCAGACCGAACACCATAACAGTAAAGCAATCTAGACTTGTAGCCAAAATTTCATAGAAACTAAACAGCCAACAGACTTCACACAATACAACAAGAACTGACACTCAGAATTAACAGTATGATAGAAAGTCAATCATCAGATAGTAATCTAAATCTTCAGGCACAGAATAACAGTAATAATAAGTAAACACAAGAACCTAGGACCAGGACAAATATACATTTGTAGTGGAACAGAATAGAACTGCCCTTTATTGTCCTTGTACATAAAAAATGAAATTGTGGATGCTCCACATCTACTGTGCAGGAACAAAATATAAATAATAAGACATCAGAACACACAGTAGGAGAGCTTGCTCTACACTGAGGAACAGTAGCAGCAGCAGCTTCTGGTCCATGTTATTCTTCCTCAGGAGGAAGTGTAGCTGCTGCTGCACTTGATCAGCGGAGATGTGATCGCCCTGAAACCTGAAGGTGGAGACAGATTCCACTCATTCTCCATTTATAATGAGAGGGCAGTGAGCCTGTCTGTGCCTCCTGAAGTCGATGTGTTATTTTGTTTTAAGGATGTTCAGCTTCTAGTACATCTGCTTTAGAGATTTTCTGCCTGCTGTTAGTAAAACATCACTGAGCAACGTCACAGCGTAGTGGTTCATACATTCACAAAACAGTCTGAAGGTCCCTCAGTTCAATCCCGAGGAGGCACACAGATCTCTTTGGGTTTGTGTGAGGAACAAAAATCAGCCAAGTCAAAACAGCTACCTGCTGTGGTGGCTCCTTATGATTAAAGGGAGCAGCCAAACATAGCTTCAGTGGTAATACTGAATGGATTCGTTCTTATGTGGCACTTTTCTAGTCTATCTCTCATTCACCCATTCATACAAGCACTGTTTACCATCTTTCTATCCAACAGTCACACTTCAACAAACACAATTTGGGGTTTAGTATCTTATCCAGGATATTTGACCATGCAGACTGAAACAATCAGGGATCAAACCACTGACCTTTGGATTAGTTAGTACATTATTAGGAAGTCACAATTAGTACCTAACTTGCTCTACCTCCTGAGGTAAAGCCAACCTCATGCTGGTTTAAGTTGAAAATGGCATTACCAGCTGGTAATATAGCCTAGATTTCCTGATGAACTGCACTGGTTAATGAAGTGCTGGGAAGAAACTACGAACTTGCCTGGAAACTACATTAGTGAGACTTTCACTGAAGCACGCCAGGCCTTATGATAGTGTGATGGTCAGGGTACACACATGTTAACCATGGGATATTAGGTTTCAGTCCAGTTCAAACTTTTCCCATCTTATTAGTTGACTGACTCCTTGGATAAGTTTGACCCACCATCGTCACGGCAACTCACTAGACAGTTACAACATTTGGAAAATATGCTTTTAACAGAGCTTATTAGTGACCCAATTACAATTTGGTATTTACCAAATACCAAATTGTATACCTTTATTCCAGTGTCATCTACTACAGCTTGGTTTCTTAATCTGAACATCTAAATATTAATTTTAAAAAAGATCATTGTCAGATCGTCATCATAGAAATCCATTAAAAACATTAGCAGGTTCCTTACCTGTTCCTAACCAAGTGTTTTAACCCTGCTCCTGATATGGTGCACTCCACTCACATGATCCATCAGAATGACCTGTAGTGCTTGTCTGCTGTAGAGCCATCATTTACTGGTTGCTGTAGTGCTGCAACACGTACCGTGTATATGAGTGGGTCTAGCTCAGGTTACCTGGCCGTCTCTGAAGCATGCTCAGTAGAGCTGGCTGTTACCTGAGAGGAACAGATGTCATGTCTGACTTGGAAATAGAGCCTTAAACTTTGTCTTAGTTTTTTCGTTGTTTGTTTTGTTTATCTTAATTCTAAGTATAAGTATCACTGATGTCTAGAGTGACTGCAACTGAAAAGATGCATTGTTTTACATAATAATTACTATTTGCTTTCAAAGTGAGGATTTTCTATTGATGTTTAACCATTTTTTGTGTGTGGCCACTTATGGTCTTTATTTGTACTATATGCACCTTCTTCCTGTCATTCTGCATTTCTGTTGGTTGCCCAAATGAATGTCACAAATTTGACCATGGCAAGCATAAGTGCTCCATGATCAGCACACTTTCACAACGCAGGACTCAGCACATTGTAACTGCTACATCTGAATCAAAGCCAGTCTTGAGATTCTGGTTCTCTCTGCTATGTATATGCTACATTATACTGCATTTAAAGATGCTCTAATTTCCATTTAGGAACTAAAGACCAACTTAAAGCTGGAGGACATTCACTGATGTCAGGAAGTGATGCCAGTAAAAATACAGATTTTTTTTCTTTAAATGTCGCTAAGCAGCAAACAAAGTAGTTACCAGGAGGTAAAAATGGTGCATTTTTCAAAATGAGCAATCGGCTAATTAAATTGAGAAAACATGCTATTTTAAGAAAGAAAATAAGGTGATTTTGAATTTGATGGCAATGACATGTTTTAAAACAGTTTGGACAGGAAGAGTATGTAAACATCTGGGAGCTGAAGACACCAGCTGCTGGGAGAGGACTGTTGTCCCATTCTTGTTTGATATTGGATTCAAGTGCTGAGTCTGCCATATAATATTTGCCATATTTTACATTCATGAGAAATAGAATGTTTTGAACTGGTGAAAGATCCAAACTGTAGGCAGACTAGTTCAGCACCAGATCCTCCTACTACAAAGCAGTGCTATTGGAATAGATGCAGCTGATCTCGTTTATTTACATTGTTACGTTTCGGTGTTGTCAGTGTTTTGTTTTTGCGTGACTGTCATGTATTTCCTGCTTTACTTTGAAAGTCTGTGTTATCTTAGTGTGTTCAGTTTACGTTTCCTTGTCTCGTCAGGTCTAATTTGCCCCAGCTGTGTTTCCCTCCTGTGGTCCTTTCCCTTATTGCTCCTTCTATGTATTTAAGCCTTGTGTTTCAGTATGTGATGGTCGCGATCTCCCCCCGTGTTGTAAATAAATAGTTTGTTGTAAATAGTTGTGAATGGGTTTGTCAATACTTTCGTTATGGGATATTTTCGTTTCGGGATTTTGGTGGAGAGCCTTCGTGGTTTTATTTTCCTTATTTCTGTTTTTTCTACGTTGCACCCCGGTTGCCTAGGCCGGGGTGTAATAACATTAAAAAGATGTCATCTGCATGCATATGTTGGTGTTGGTCATAATTACAGGATGTCTGATCCTTAGCAGTCTGCAAAGACTCTGTGTGCCTTCCACAGCACTCTGGCATGCACACAC